TTTCAGATATTTGACCGCTGTCCCCTTCGTAGCATAGACAGTGTTTCGTGGAATTCGGCTTTCCCAGCCGGTTACAACAGAACTTTCCGCATATATTAGGCGACATTATCCATCTGCATATATGAACAAATTACGTCATCACAACGCATTATACTTTATAGAAATTAAGGAACCGATTTTTGGCTGATACGACAGAAACTCAAGGTGATACAGTTCAGAATTGATATCAGTGGTACCGATGCATCTTCACATTTAACTCATCTTCATCATCATACTGAATTTCAGTATCCTCTCATTTTTACCTCGCCCTCTCCACTGATTGAGTCTATGAGGTACCTTGAATTTGTTATTTGGTTGCAGGTAGTCGGCAAAAAGGCCTGAACCTGGTATTCGTGCTTCCTAGCACTCATCACCCCATTGGAAGTAAAGTCACCTCTGAAATTTGAACCAGCATCACCTAGTATTGCAGTTATCGACGTCATTACTGAGCTATTCATGTATCAGATGAGCCATGTCGACTTACACCGAAGAACACAAAACTGTCGTCCATTACTTCTTACTGACTGATTATGAACATCTAGGATGTTCCCGAAATCATTTCTAGCTGCTCGATTTGATGAAACATCGAGACTGTAACTGAAATTCAACATTTACAGTGATTATTATTATATTATATTATTTGTCCCTTGGGTTCCTAGTGGAACATAGGGATTCAGTAGCATGCCTCCACCCCACTCTCTTCTCTGCAATCTTTTCAACATGGCTCAACCACTGCACACAACATTTCATTTCTTACTCACATGATCTCTGCAATGTCAACCTCGCATCGGACACCCAACTCGTCGTTTCCCATCTGGGTTCCACTCGAGTGCCTCACCTGGCACATGATGTCCCTGAATGGTCATCTCAGTCTATACCCAATCCAATGCATCCCCACTTCCTTTTGAATATTTCTTGCGTGATGGGTTCTTGGTTGATTGGTTGGTTGCCAGCCAGCCAGCCAGCCAACGAGAGTTCCTGGTTGCTTATTCTTTCCCGCCATCTCATCTCATCTCATCTCATCTCATCTCATCTTCAGCATCCACTGAGCATAGGTGGCAGGTGTTCATGAATATCTGTGGTTTGTTGCAGATGACTTTCGTAACTCGCCAAGTCTCTCAACCATCACATAGAAGCACTGACTCACTTCACTGAATTGGTGTTGAAAATCCCGATCTGGTTGTTTGTGCTGAGTGCAGTGGATCTCCACACTGATTTCAGGTTAATGAAAGCCTGTCTTGCTGTCTTTCGTATCCTGGCTACTTTCACGTCCTCGTCTGTACCACCGTTGCCTGTAGTTGAAATGATGTTGCCTAGTAGGTAGTTGGTAGGTGAAAGAGACTACTTCCTTTAAGTTTCCCCGTTGATGGTGACTGGAACTTGTTGTTGTTGGTGGTGTTGTTTGGATATCCTCATTACCTCTGTCTTCTCTACATTCACTTGAAGTCGTGTTTTCGCTGTCACTTTTGTAAAGTCATTAGTTTTTGCCTGTATATCTTCGAGTGAGTGCGAAAAGACATTGGACATAAATCATCCTCGTTGGCGAAATCCAAATCTTCCAGGCTCTTTTCATCGGTGAAACAGCATATGCTTATCTTTTCGCTCCTCACTGTTTGCTGCATGATCCAGTCCAGTCCACGACAATGAGGAATATCATGGGTGATAGTAGGTGGCAGCCTTGTCTTACTCCTGTCTTCACTTCGAAAGCATCACTGAGCTTTCCATTGTGAATTACTTAACATGTGGCGTCTTCATATAGTTTACAAGGAAGTACTTTTTAATATCTTAGGCATAACTTGTGGAATAGTTATTCAAACTATTCTTTTATGAAATTATCATATTTATATTAGAAAATATTCAATCTGTATTTATCGGCAAATCATATCATTTTTATGCATTGTAGCGGTAACGGAATAGAATAATTTGCATTCACACTTTATTCACTATCTTTTCGAGTAGATAATAACTATTAAATATTTAACAAAATGTCATGAGAAAATAACAGTTCACTTACATTGTGTAGGCATTAAATGTTTTCGAATTTGTTTTAATCAACTATTTAACAGACTTATTTTGAGCTAATGAATTTAAGATGACTAGTTCATTTCAGGGTGAAAAACTGATGAATATAATTTTTGTAATTGAAAATAATCACAAATCCTGACCCAGTGGCTCAATGGTAACGCGCTGGCCGCGGAACCTGAAGGTCGCGGGTTCGATCCCTGCTGGTGGGGTCGTGGGTGCGCACTGCTGAGGAGTCCCATACTAGGACGAAACAGCTGTCCAGTGCTCCCAGGTTTCCTTTGTTCCTCCAACTGATGTCAGTCTACGATGAATAACAACTTGAAATAATTCTAAATCTCCACAACTCCCTAAAAATTCTTATCAGTGTGCTTAGTTTATTATTAAAGTGAACTTTCAGTTATATGCCTACCTTTGAATTATCAAAACTTGTTCTATTGTTAACTTTATTGACAAGAATTAATAGGTGCTGTACAATTTATATTTGATTGTAGTATCAAGCTTACCAATACTAAGAATTTATGAAATTTTTATAGATCAAGTGTGTTATGTAGTCGCCAAGCAAGCTAATTAACTGTGGTTCATCTGATGTTCAATGGATGGATGGATTGGTTCATCTAGTTTATGTATACCTAAGGATAGTTAGGGTGTATCTATAACCTTAAAAGAGTTTTTGAGTTAGCATCACCCAATCCTATGGTCGATGAAATATGTACCAGACTATTTTTTCTGGTTCACATAAATGAAAAATAATGAACTATTTTTCTAAAAGTAGTAATGAAAAACATGGAAAACTTGTCCATCATATCAGAGTGTGTATATCACTTTTCACTCAGTGTGTAGGTTTTAACACAGGAGTCTAATAAAAGCATAGAATCTAGGGAGATCTTTGGGAGACTAAAGCATTTATATTGAAATGATGGAACTGACACACCATCTGAAGGTTTCTATATCCATCCCACTTGACATTACGTAATCTCATTTCTATGTGATGGTTGGTATTGTGTCGTCTCTTATGGAAGTCAAATAGTCCTCGTTTCATTTATTGTAAGCACCAAAATGGTGAGGATACTTCTTAAAAAATACAAGTTATATTTCGTTCTCACCTACAAAATTCAGTGTCATATGAGTATGAAATACTTCCAGCTGACTTTCTCAACGACATGCTTTGACAATATTACAACCCTCCAATAGGCTCTGGAACAAAAGCACACCTACCGGTGACCAAAACGTGCTATAACTTGAACCTGAAGCTGGCATTTGACTCTGTCAACGTGAAGTGGTGCATCAGTGTCTGACTGTGAAATGAGTACTGAGAAAGTATATATCGCTAATCGAAGCTCTCTACTCGGACTCATGCAGCTATGTGAGGGTGCATGGACAGTTGCCATCAGGATTGACGACAATTAGTGATGTCCACCAGGGGGTGTCCATTGACACCGTCCCTATTTAGCCTCATTATAGATATACTAGTGGGCATAACCTTAAATACTTCTGACTTCACATGGATTGGTCTACTCTCTGGAGATCATCTGATTGAAGTATGCAGATGATATTATCCTCCTCATCAAAGAAGCTGACTCAATGCAGGGTCTTCTAAACACCTTGAACAGGAATCTGAGTGTTTGGTATGCGTTTCTCATCTGTCAAATTTAAGATGATGCTTAAGGACTGGTGTTCAACTACTCCCAGTTGAGTGATACGGAGTGAAGTAGTAGAATCTGCCGACTAATTGGTGAGAAATTCGACTGTCTTTCCATCTTGTTCAGTTATACGGCTGTGAGACATGGCCGCTAAAAGTAGAAGACATAAAGCAGTTACAGGGTTTTGGTCACTGATATCCTCACAGCATTGCACACGTGTGGTGGAATAATCGTGTGAGCAATGTTGAAGTTAGGTGAAGAGTGCTAGGCAAGACAAGTGGACAAGTCGACTGGTGAGGTTTTGAACCTCCATCGACTGAGATTGTTTGGACATGTACTGTGCATTCCGATCTACCGCCTACCTCGATGTGCAATGCTAGGGAGAGTTGAATTAGGTTAGAAGAGGGTTCATAGTGGTCAGATCAAGACATGGCACTAGTCGATGAAGTCGCTGACCGTTGGTCTTAACTTTGTGTTAAGATGTAGACTACCTCGTTGGGAACCCCGAGGCGATGGGAAGACTCTAGGTGATATGGCTGAAAACCAGTCACAGTGGCGAAGATGTATTCACTCCTTGACGTCTTCCAAGGATTGAATATTTGCACTAACCTTTATCTTCAAACTGCTTATTCTCTCACACGACTTTGTCTACTTTGATATCAGTCTATTTCTCTGTAGTTGTCCTTTGTATACTACTTTGAATTGTGACAGCTTGAGGTGATGCGCTTGTATGTGAGGTTCTACGTGGATCTTTTCTGTCTCCGTCTGCCTGACATGCTTGCATGACATAAATATCTTCACAATATTATGCGGTGGTTCACTTGGGCTTGATGGAACTCAATGTGGTTACCCTACCAGATGAGACCATTTACGGTTCTGCTTTTTAAAATCTTCAATATTTGCCCTTCTCTATTGAAAGAAAGTCTTTGAATACTTAAACCGAAAATTTGTTCATCATTATTTAGAAGTTGTGCAAACTGACTGATAGATAGTGTTCCGGGCATTACTCAAACACAGTGTTGATTGAATCCCAGTGAATAAGAAATGGAATTCAACCACTAATCCAAGTAACAAGGTATTGTTGTTCACTAGGTTAGTTGCTTACAATATAGAAAAAAAACTAGCATGAAAAGCTAAATAAAGATTTTTTGTTTACCGTGACTCATCAACTCACTGCTGTTATTTGCAACTGTTGCAGTGAATACCAGTGATTTAAACCTCAGATGTGAATTGTTGGCTCACCAAGGTCAATCCAAAATTATTTGAATACTTTTCTTTTGTTCTTATATATCACAGTTGGGATGATCTGATTGTCGGTGCACCATATCATTATTCCAACGCCACTGATGGTGGACATCATAGACACGGAGCTGTGTTCGTATTTTTAAATAGACAGCCATATTTCAATTCACCGATGGATGAAATTAATGAGGTAGAATTGTTTAGCTATGATTTTTCTGAGACATATCAACTCCTTTCACCTCCATCTCATCATTGTGGAAACTCACCTATTCCTGGATTTGGAGCGACTATTACAAAACTAGGCGATATCAATCATGATGGCTATCAAGGTATGTTATCATTATAAGAAACTAAACAACAATAATATAATATTTCTTAATTTGATTTTGTAAATGACAACCTGAGAACACTAATTAGGTCCTAAATATGCAATTCAACCTATTCAAAAGCACATTGTCGAAATATATCTGTATTCCAATATATTATCGTTATTACAGAACCGCAGACTTCACACTTATAGGTGCAGATGTTTGAGTGCTGTTCACCAGCCCATAAAATTACGTAAGGTTCAGTGGTTGTTATTTTTCATTTTCAGTTGGTATTTGCTTCATTTGAATTGACAAACGTTTGTCGAAGTATAGATGATCTTGTTTGGTGTGTGAATTATCAGTCGTTCAGTAGATTGATTGTTAGATATTAATCGCTGCTTAAGTTTCTAATTGTGCCAACTGGAATTTTCCGGCCAGGTTTATGAAGTATTCACTAAGTTTATTTTTTTTTGTCATGACTGCAGTATTGGGAAAGCACTAAACTCCCTGAGGTTGTATTTATACCTTATTCGTGGAGAACATTCTGGAGACTGCTTTCAACCTTCCTATATGAATTGTAAATTCACCTAATCATTAGCCATGGTTTGAAAAACCCAAATAATTATCTTTCATGAAGATTATGACAATATTCCTTCTGATACTCTAAAATAAAATACATCATTAGGATTTCCTTCAATAAATCCGTACCATTAGTCAACAGTAATGTGTTGTATACGCAGCTGAATTGAGAAAAATAAGACTAAAATATATTCCTACGCCTTAGTGAATAATATCACAGCATATTTTGTGTACAACTTTTCTGAGAGTTTTACATTCTTCGTCACGTATGAGAAAAACTAACTGCAGTGCTTTAAACTCCTGTTACCATGAAGAAGCTATGAGTATTGTGATTTCCACATGAGACTTTGAGTATCAACAGGCCACTGATAAAACAAACCTATTAAGAAATAATCCTTTCATACACTAACCTACTAATCGAATAGTAATTCAGTCTTCGATTACTTGTTTTACGGTAGATTTCACTGCATTCTGATAATTTATGGGGTCAAAGAAGTTATGTGTAACATCGTTTAATGATAATGCTATTTATGAAGTCTCTAGAAAATTGAAAACCTAGGTGATTGTTCCCAACCCACTAACCTGATGATAATTTTCCCACCTTCAGACTTGACAGCCATAGGCTCGATCGATCATGGGATCGTGCGTGTAGATTTCTAAAGAGTTCAGAAATAGGCTGAAACTGCTCTCCAATTCTCCTTGGTTTATAGTTGTTCTGTCACAAATTTTAAACGTAAATATCTTAATCTATGTAGTTCAACAGTTTAACAGAAAAGTTTGTCATGTTTTATTAGTCAATAATTCCTATTCTTTAAGTAAGAGTTACCATAGCTTTCTTGCATGTTGAAAAATCACATATTTTTCAGAGTTATGCAAACTTACTTTGAATCTATGCTGGAACGCAAACATGCATTTATGCATTCGCTTGGGAATTAAATCGACTTCAATCTGAGCAGGGAAATTTAACCGTTATACTGTTATACTCTTGCTAACGTGTAGTGAGATCTTCAACTTCAGCGTTGAGGAACATGAGTTCGAATCAATAAAGGGACACGACTATCCTCATGGTTCCAGATACACCTTACTGATGAGTGCCAACAAAAGTACCAAACCGAAGTTCAGGGCTTTTTGTCGGTCGACTGCTAACCAAAATACGGTGAATCATAGCGTCACATCACTTCAACTTCGGCTAGTTTGTAAACTTGACTGACTGACTTCAATCAGAACTGAGCAATGAGGAATAGGCTGCTAGCTACATAGGTTACCTACTGAGGACCATTTTGTAGACGGCTTCGTTTATTCTCTATTTATCAGTGAGAATAGAATAAAATGTTACATTATATCCTACTGAAAGTTTGTTGATAAGGCTATAAATCGTAAGTGAAATTTGAGAACCCATAGTATTGCCTGGCTACCTGAGATGAATTAGGTGGATTGAGTTTAACCTTGTGAAACAGTGGTTTACAGTCGAACCATTGAGTCAAAGCACAACAATGAATTGTCAAAGTAATTGTCTTATTCTCAACCATAAAGGTACTTAAACTATGATGTTAGACGGCGTAGTCTCGTTGATATTAGGTTATAGTTACTGTTTAAGTATATGTATGTAGTATGTGATACAACTATTGAGTGATTGATGTTGAATTCAGGTCGGATTTCTACATTAGATAGATGAGTCAGTTGATCTTGTCAGTATGCACTGTGTGAGATGATTATGAGACTTGTTGTGATCATCTAAGCCAAAATTATGGTCATTAGGGTAAAAGACTTAACTAACGAGACAAAAGTATGGTATCAGTTCATGAAACTAGCGGTCATTCCACTAAGACTTTCCGGGATATCAAGAACTATATACTCGAAGAATCATATTTTAACAACTTAAAGCTGTTGTCAGTTTCAAAGATTTAGTCACTTCTTGTCATACTGCAGAGACTAAATCCAATATCCTTGAGTCTTTAGCACAACTTGTCTTCTTTTCAAATCGATCCAGTGACTTTTTTTATCATTTTCGTCGGTTTAATATGAGGAAAGAAACATGACAGCTTGATTTAATGACCACTTTTAGTGTTTAGTATTTTAGCTATCGGTTCGACCACTTAGTTGATGTTAGGTTGAAATTCATCATGGATTGACATCAGTTGCAGAGGGACATTGGAAACCTGGGGGCACTGGACAGCTGTTCCGTCCTAGCATAGGACTCCTCAGCAGTGCGCACCCATTACCCCGCTTAGTTAGTCAGAATCAAATCTTGAAATTGCTCCATAACGGTTGCCATACCTCATATAAGTGCGTTAGAGTAGAAGGTACCAAGATGAAGGATAGAGAAATCAGGAAGAAAATAGTTAAAAGTGGTAGTAAGTCCTAGAAACAGAATAAGAAGGAATCAGACAACAACAAATTTCTATATGGTGGCTAAGATAAAGATCATGCGTATAGATAGATAGATAGATCTGCACCATATGGATCGATTCTGAACCATATTACAGAGAATCCCTAACTATCATATTCGGCTGTCAGTGTGGACTTTAATCCAGAAGTCTTCATTCCTCTATGTAAATCGGACCAACATTCAGAGACTTGATGTACACTAATACCATGTTTAAGTCTAGCCATCTTCAATCTTGCTCTTGTCCAAGCCTACTTCAGATAACATTGTACGATCGGACAGACGGTGACTAGATATGCACAACACATTTCTTATTGGATAATTAAATATTCATTTCCTTTTTATGTATCGCCTTGACAGTAACCACGTGGAAAACTCATTTTAATCAACAAATATCCAAATCAATTGACAGACACCTGTAAATCGTACGATATTCTAATTTCGTATTTACCTTATCAAAATGATTGTGAGATAATTGGTGCTTTGAAATAGTCAAAGACAGAAGTGAAAATAAAAGTAGCCGCTTAACTGAATCATCGATTAAGATCATCTGTAATAATTCAAAAGTTGCTTATTCACTACTAAGTTCGACCACCCATTAGAACAATTAAACTATTCTTCACTGTTATTCCTCACAGTTTAAGGTGTAGCTGTTAATGTATGCTATTAGTCAACTTAACTTTATTTGATAAATTTCTCTCATCTTTCAATATAATGCGAAGAAGTATCGTCATATTTCAAAATTCATACTTCTTACATTTTACCGAAAAAGTAACTGATAATTTCTTTTCCTCCTCTGTTTTTCTTTTGTTTATTATTTTTATTACAATCCAATGAAAAATAAAAATTTTAGATTTTGCTGTTGGTGCACCCTATGAAGAATATGGAGGTGCGGTATACATTTATCATGGTAGTAAATCGGGTAAAATTCAGAAACCATCACAAGTGAGTGGTATGATTCAATTTGTTTTCTGTTCAACATTTTTGTTTACATGAAAATATATCAGTAAATAAGATAGATTGTCTACAGAAGACTGATTCGAGAAAGGTTTCAATATATACTATTCTGTTTTTAGTATAATTGTTTTTATATCATACCGTCGTTGATTGAACGGAACTGATCGGTCTCTATTGGTATATGGGATCCTGTGCGGATGCCTCCATACTACCGGTGCTCTAATGACAGTAATGGTTGATCCTGACTAGCAGGCAATCCACTGCTAGCCACGATCCAGCATCATACTATCCTGGTTGTGTTCTTTTTATACAAAGATAACAAACAATGCTTACGATATATGATTACTACATTTTTGAGGCAGATTACACTTCCTGGTAAAATCGACTACAATTATAAGCAGTATAGCGCTGAGGAGTGGTTAAAAGTAAAGAAAACAAACTATTTTAGAAATGGAGATTATCAAAAGAAGTCTGGATATTGTATAAAGAATTCATTTCTACATGGATAAACCTCGTTGGCATACTATCATTTCTGGGACGAATCATGTTTCAGGATTCTGAAACTTCCGCCCCGATGCTCTACCAACTGAGCTACGAGGTTCGACTGATGACTAGATTTTTGTTTCATTCCAATCACCTTGCTGATTGAAACCTAGTGGTCGCTGGTTCGAATCCAGCCACGGTCCAAATTTTCATTTCACCTTCAATCATCACCCAGTATGAATACTAGTTTGGCAAACTACGACTATCTCAGACAGTCAAATGATAACTCTGACATTTGATTAAATGTCTTAAGGGTCGGTGATATGACCTCATCTTCCAACGTATTGGTTACTTGTACCCGTCCGAATATAAGGAGCATATTTTGTATATATGCGAAATTGTATGGATACAATACTGTATAAGGCCATGGTCAAGTTTCGGTCAAATCTTCAAGCCTTTTGAAATATATTCACCTAGGGTAAATGGTATCATTAGGATATATTGCTATATTTAAGCAAGAAATTTATCTTTAATACTGTTTTTCCTTTACTCTAACCAATGATGGATAATATTTGAAACGTGATGATGAGTTCGCCCTATCACATGTTCATTGTGACAGTCCATCTTTATTTCTTGCACTCAATATTTGTCAGTTGACAAATAATTGACATAACTTTGCTGCATTGAACGCCCTTCTTGGACACGTGATTTAACCTTGTGTCGAAATTTCACTAATTTTATCACTTCAAATCTCCAGCTTCAAGAACGTTAGCTTTTTAAAAACTTTCAGTACTTTGACTATTGTTCCTTTTCAAACTGATAATCATTTGATTAGAACTTCACTGGATTATGCATTTCTACAGTATTGATCATGAATAGTGTTGATTTACTCCTTGAAAGAATGATCAACAGTGTTCAGTTGTAAACATCTCCTGAAGATGTTTACAATTGAAGAGCATAGCGAATAAACTGAGCTGAAATATAAGAGGATAACACTGAATCAATTTCATTCTAGTTATTGTGATCATCAAATATGTGAAATGCTTCAAAATCAACGGTTCTTCATATGAATCAAAATTTTAAACAGACTGCCGTCAATTTCCTTGGATTACGAAATTATCATAAGGGAACCTAAAACAACTCACTAAAAATCTGTGCAAATTCTTGATTACTTTCTCTTACCAAAATCATTTTAATTGTAGATGCACTGAAAAGTTAAATTTTGTCATTTTTGATGTATATTTCCTACTGACTTTTACTTTCATCATTCGATGCCACATTACTTCGGTCTGCTGAATGCAATGGTTCTATGCGTATAATATGAATAGCGTTATAGTCTTCCTGATTAAAAAATGTAGCATTTGCTCGTTAGTGGGAAATGAGATAAGATATCACTTGATAATAGGAGTCTGTTGTCTACTAACAACAAGTCTAACACTACAGAAGGTTTGTAAATTAAGTTATTCAGCGTAGTTGTCAACCGCCAGACAAGCCTATCAGCACAGTGTATTGCTATAGCTAATCCTTAAAGTAGCCTTCTCAGTCCTGGAAACTTATTTACAATACATTTCTGTAAAAATAAACAATCTCTCCCATATTCTATTAATATATTCCGTTCAACATTGAAATATAATGTCAGTTATTGACAGAACACTTCGCGTGAATAATCAACCTTTCTACTGAATAATGATTGAAGGTGAAATGAAAATTTGGACCGTGGCCGAATTCAAACCAGCGACCACTGGGTTTCTGGCCCGTTTCTCTACCAACTGGACTATGAGGTAGAGCATCGGGCCGGAAACAGGGAGTCAAATGATAATCAGCCTTTCTTGTCAGTTACTCGAAACCTGTATAATAAGATCCTAAAGTCTGTAACTGGAGTAATTGTATTATGTCAATTGAAACTTCCAAGGAAAATATGCGCTTTTTGACTTCATGGGTAAATAAAGAAAGGCCAACAGAGAAACATTGTTGATGTACAATGTTCTTGTTATTTAATCAACCTCTTCATCTTTAAATGATCTCGATTAGTTACCGGAATACAATCCTGCCAGAAGCTTTAATCTTTGCAAAAAATAGTTTTTCAACAAACAAGTAAGATAGTGCATTATAATTTCTATGACGCGCATAGTTGTATTAAAAAAAAATGAAATATTGTTACAAAGTAATGGTAACCCGCATTTATTAAAAATCTCGAGCAAAACAAAAGAATCAAAGAATGAATGATAACTATTTATAATGTGTTTAAACTGTTAGACATACTTACCTTTTGTTCAATGTTAAATCAATACATCAAAACAAATAATTTTCTTCAGTATTTGCTCACTGTGTTACGACACTACTTCACATTTGACTTCTTCTTATATGTATGTATGTAAGTGACAGTGGTGGTGACAGATGATAACCGACACCCTATTTGTTACCGTTATTTTTCATTTTAATAAATAACTAAAAAGAATACAAAGGGAAAAGCTAAGATCTTTATTGAAATAGGTTAATGGAAGAGTAATTGGTGAATGATTTTTGATGGAAATTAGATAAGTTCTAGCTTTACCACACTTTAACTCTGTTTGTGTGGAAACGATTTAATTTGCTACAGTATTTCCCCTGAGATATGTCACATTTATTTCCATTGTGTTTCTTCATGAATAAAAACTACCAGTAAGTAATCACTTCATAAATTCAAAAACGTTTCTCCTAAACTCTTCAAAGTAATAAAAATAATCACTAATTTTGATGAATGAATAACAAAATAGTCAACTAGTTTTGTGACTTTGATGTTACTGATGACACTGATTCATTTTGAAGGTAGTATTCAATATTAACTGACGTTATTTGGAGAACTATTGAATACCTCGCAACACTGATGAATGCAACCGTAAAACAAAACCCTTAAACCATATTACTGTATAATGCCGATTAGTGACACAGTTCAAAAAGGATATTCCGAAGTTCTAATGAGAAACTATACCCGATGGAATCAACTAGTTAGAAGTGAGATGGATACCACCCACTCAGTGGCTGAATGGTTAACTAAGTTAGCCATAAAACTTGATAGTCTCTATTTCGATCTCTGACTCGGTGGGGTGGTGCTGAGGAGTCCCATACTAGGACGAAACAGCTGTCTAGTGCTTCTTGGCTTTGAATGGTTCTTCAAGTAATGTCAGTTCAAGATGAAATACCATCTTGAAAGAAATGAAACCATCATAAACTTCAAAAGGTATTGATATTTGTTTCATTGAAACATTGAATACTAAAATTCACTTTACAGATTTTCAGTATTCCTTTTGGATGAAAAATTTGCTTCATTCTGAATGTCTGATTTTCTTTCATAATAATTGAACCAGCTAACTAGTAGTACGCTTCCAACTGAAATAAATGGCAGATAATTTATGTCACTAGAAGGCATTAATCTGTCATTTTATTAACCATGTGGTAGTAAATACATATTTTGTGTATGTGAAGTGTAGACTGGAGTAATACAATACTGTCTACTATCACCCATGATATTCCTGATTGTGGTTGACTGGACTGGATCATGCAGCAAACAGTGAAGAGCGAGAAGAGGGGAATACGCTGAACTGGGGAAAACATCCTGGAAGATTTGGATTTCGCCGATAACCTGTGTATAATGTCGCACAATCTCGAAGATCTACAGGCAAAAACTAACAAGTTGATAGAAGAGGTGAGGCAGAGAAGACGGGAAATCAAGTGAATGTAGAGAAGACAGAGGTGATGAGGATATCCAAACAACACCATCAACAACAACAAGTTCCAGTCACCATCAACGGGGAAACTTAGAGGAAGTAGTCTCTTTCACCTACCAACTACCTACTAGGCAACATCATTTCAACTACAGGCAACGGTGGTACAGACGAGGACGTGAAAGTAGCCAGGATACGAAAGACAGCAAGACAGGCATTGATTAACCTGAAATCGGTGTGAAGATCCACTGCACTCAGCACAAACAACCAGATCGGGATTTTCAACACCAATTCAGTGAAGTGAGTCAGTGCTTCTATGTGATGGTTGAGAGACTTGGCGAGTTATGAAAGTCATTTGTAACAAACTACAGATATTCATGAACACCTGTCACCTATGCTCAGTGGATGCTGAAGATGAGATGAGATGAGATGGCGGGAAAGAATGAGCAACCAGGAACTCTCGGTGGTTGGCTGGCTGGTAACGAACCAACGAAGCAAGAACCTGTTGCTCAACAAATATGCAGAAGGAAGTGAGGATGCATTGGATTGGGTATGCACTGAGAAGACCGACTGGAGACATCACGTGCCAGATAGGAAACGGCGAGTTAGGTGTCCGAGGCGAGGGTGATATGGAGGAGATCATATGAGGAAGAAATGAGAGCTTGTGGGCAATCGTGGAGCCAGGTTGAAAAGGCTTCAGAGAAGAGAGTCCACTGGAGACGTGCTACTGAATCTCTATGTTCCACTAGGAACTCAAGAGATAAATAATAATTATTATTATTATGTGCATGTGAAATTTTG